AGTCGGACGCTTAACCGACTGCGCCACCCAGGCGCCCCTGAATTTGTGGATTTTTTAAAAAGGTATTTGGTGCTTTTCAATGACATATTCTTTAAAATTTCACTTTTTGTTTGTAGGTGTTTAGACATACAATTGATTTTTGTACATTGAGTTTTTTAATCCAGCAACCTTGCTAAATTCGTTTATTTAAATTTATTTTCAGATTTTATCGTCTGTAGATGGCAGTTTTTTTATTTTGCTTTTCAAGTCTTTATAACTTTCATTTCTTTTTCTTTCCTTACTGTAGTAGTATATAGCACTCCAGTACTGTTTTATTTTATTATTATTATTTTTTTTAAATTTTTTTTTCAACATTTATTTTTGGAACAGAGAGAGACAGAGCATGAACGGGGGAGGGGCAGAGAGAGAGGGAGACACAGAATCGGAAACAGGCTCCAGGCTCTGAGCCATCAGCCCAGAGCTTGACGCGGGGCTCGAACTCACGGACCGGACCGCGAGATCGTGACCTGGCTGAAGTCGGACGCTTAACCGACTGCGCCACCCAGGCGCCCCTAGTCTTTTTTTTTTTTAATACTACGCCTTTGAAGTCAGATGTACGTTTTACACATACAGCACCTCTCAGTCCAGATGAGCCACATTTCAAGTGCTCAATAGTTGTATAGGATAGCACAACTCTAGAATCTTAGATTCAGTTTCTAGGTAGGTTCATTGAATATAGAAGTTCATGGTCCTAGAATATTGTATTCAGAGTATACTAGAATACTAAGACTTGCAGAATCTTAGAATCTTAGAATCTTGCATCAATAGAATTCTAGAAACTTCTATTCATGACTGTCTAGAATCTGGTGAATTAAACATCCCAGAATGCTATCATTCCAGATTCTTAAAATCCCCCAGGTTTTAATTCAGAGAATTCTAGAGTCTCAAACTATTTGAACCCTAGCTTCCTGAATTTCAAAAACCATTGATTTATAGAATTCTAGAGTGATGAAATTCATCTTATAGTCCCAGGATACTAGAATTTTAGGCTCTTTCAGTTCCTGATTTCACTCAGGTAATTTAACACCCCCCTCAGACTTTTTGATCCAGAGAAATCTAGAATGTTAGAACATTGAATTCATAACATTCTAGAACATAGAATTCTAGAGTTGTGAATTCCTAACATGTTAGAATCTTAGAATTCTAGAATTTAGATTCTGGGCATTCTAATGCCCAGAGTATGAGAAATAAATGATTCAGTAATCTTTTCTATATTATCTCTGGAAAGGAGTCATTCACCTTGTTCCAATATTCTTCCCTCCAGGAATGAAGCACATGGGGTTGGTACAGAATGTTGTGTGGGAATTTCCCATCAGTCATTGCTCCACGATAGGGTCTCTTTCAGCTCAGGTCTGTGCTTCAGGCTAGGAGAACAATGCTCAGATTTCAGTCCCAAAGACCAAGGAGAGAAGTAGAGATATGGAGGTAGAAAAGATTTAGGCATGAGGACGAGTTGGGGGGGATTGATTTCCCAGATATGGAACCAAGGCAACAAGGTGACAGAGAGTCAAAGATAGAACTAACACCTCATACTCCTTAAATCCTGAATTCTCAATCAGAAGCCTGTTCCCTAAGGTCAGAGGTCAGAGGCTGAGGAATGGACACATATACTCCCAGATAGTCCCCAGCTGTCCTGGGACGTGGACTGGGCTTGCAGTGAGAGAGCTTGAGGGTAGGCCTCAGGAAGACACACATTGAGGGTAAGGGATACGGCTACAGGAAAACCCTGAGTTCATGGATGACCCCTAACTTGGGGATTTTCCATTTCCCATCCCCTTCCATGCATACACACACACACCAACACACACACAGAGCCGCTCCCCGCAAAAGCCACCAGACCTGTGGGGGCAGGAGGTGGGGCTGTTGTTGTATGGCAGGTGGAGCCTCCATGTGCCTACACGCTTCCAGGGGACCCAGGTCACCTTTAAGGCTCCAGGTGGGGCAGGAAGGAAGGCGACTCACTTGGTACGGGACTTGGGAGGGGTGTGAGTTTTGGGGGGAGAGCTACAAAGGTAGAGGCAGATGAAAGGATGGAGTGAGGAGCTGGGGCCCAGAGAGGGTGTATACCTTGCCTAAAATCACACAGCACTCTGGGTCGTACAGAGATGATGGGGGCCCAGGGACAGTGTGTGGCTTGTGGAGCACCCAAGCTTGGTGGACACCCAGCTTGACCTCTGAGGCCTGTCCCAACAGGTATCTGTGGGTCCGCCTTGGGGAGCACCACCTCTGGAGATGGGAGGGTCCAGAGCAACTGTTCCGGGTCACGGACTTCTTCCCCCACCCTGGGTTCAACAAGGACCTCAGAGCCCATGACCATAATGATGACATCATGCTGATCCGTCTGCCCAGGAAGGCACATCTGGGCCCTGCTGTGCAGCCCCTCAACCTCAGCCAGACCTGCGTCTCCCCAGGCACCCAGTGCCTCATCTCAGGCTGGGGAGCAGTGTCCAGTCCTAAGGGTACAGTGTTGCTCACAACTCAATCCCTTGTGTCTCACGCTGACGGTCTGAATCCCCTCTGTTTGTCTGTCTCTGCCTTTTCATCTGATAGATAGGGAAAAATTTTAAGACGCTACAAATTGAAGGTGCATCATTATTTTACAACCACTAAGAACAGGGGGGAAAAAAGGTCCCATTAATCCTTGTATGACACCATTTGCTGGAAGACCCTTCCTGGATGTTGGAGATGTTTAAATGTGAAAATACATGCATCTTGGAATGGAAATGAGGTGTACAGAGTGACTCTCTCAGAGTCACCGATCAGCAACCCATTAGCCATATTTAGCTTCCTCACATCAGTTTTCAGAGTGCCTTGAAAAAACAGTCTGAATTTGTTGCTGCCAACAACTAAAGCCTGGGAGATTTTACACAAAAGCCAAATTTCTGCGTTTCCTGGAAAAATTCAAAGAACTGGCAACGTTGGAGCCACATTCCCCAAATAGTGGCCATTGGGCAGAATCGGTGGAGGCTGCCCGCTTCAGACAGGATGTGGGTTCTCTGGTTCACTACAGTGCCCCCCAGTGGCTGCTGTGGCTGCACAGTCCCCTCCACCCACTTCTATTTGCTTGTCAAGCCCAGCAATGCCATCAATACCCCCCCCCACCCACTTCTGTTTGCCTGTCAATATCCATATACATGGGTATATGTGTATCTATATCTGTATCTATATTATACATGCTGTGTCTCCCTGTGTGTATCTAGTATCTTTTAAGTCTTTATCTCTGTCTCTGCCAATGACCATAAATATCTCCTCCCTTTATCTCACTGTCCTTGGCATTTCTGGGCCTCTTTCCCTCTCTTTCTTCATTGCTTCCTGAGAATCTCTTTCCCCTTAAGAGGTCTATCTCCTGGTATAGTCTCTGCTTTTCTCTGTGTATCATGTATCTCTTCTTGGTTCTTGACTCTGACTCTGTTTCTCTGGCTCTCTCCCTCTCCTCATACATCTGTTTCTCTTTCACGCTATGATTTCTTTTTGTCACTGTGTCTTGTTTCTATCTTTGACAGTCTTATGCTGTGGTTCTATGGGTCCTCCTTAGGGAAGGGTCTGGATGGAGGGGCATCTGAGTGTGATGAGCACAACTGCTGATCCTCTATGGGTTGACCTCTTTTGCCAACAGTGCAGTACCCACTCACGCTACAGTGTGCTAACATCAGCATCCTGGAGCACAAACTCTGCCATCGGGCATATCCGGGCCACATCTCTGACAGTATGCTCTGTGCCGGCCTTTGGGAGGGGGGCCGGGGTTCCTGCCAGGTGAGTCCCACTCTGGGGAGGCGGGGAATGGGTATCTTGCCAGATTCCTGGGCCCTAGGGAATTAGGGAGTTGGGCCCCAGACTTCCTGGGTGAAAGCCAGTGGGGATCTGGGACACTTGGGTCCTGGGAGAAGATGGGGCCAAGACCAAGATTCCTGGATTTAAAGGGGACTGTGGGCCCAGAGTCCAGGATCTAAAGAAAGAGGAGACTAGTCTTAAAGAACAGACTTTAAGTCCTGAGGGAAGAGGGGACTAGGATCCCAGAAGGCTGGGTGCAGGGTTGAGGTGAGGGGTATGAGCTTTTACTCCTGGGTCTGAGGGAGGAGGGACTGGCCGCCTGGACAACAAGGTGTCAGGAGAGGAGGGCTTCCTGGGAGAAAGATAATATCATGAATACAACCGCTTAACAGTTTCATTGCTCTTCTGCCGCGCACAGGGTGACTCTGGAGGCCCTTTGGTTTGCGAAGGGACCCTGGCAGGTGTGGTGTCTGGGGGTGCCGAGCCCTGCTCCAGACCCCGTCGCCCCGCCGTGTACACCAGCGTATGCCACTACGTGGACTGGATCCGAAAGACCATGGAGGACAACTGAGCTCTCGCGCCTCAGGACCAAGAGAGAAGGGTGGGCGCAGGGGAGCCGGGAATTGCCGGACTCTGGCCTCGGCAGCGCGGAGACGCACTTTGCATATTCAGGCTCCGCCCCCTGTTGGCCGACAGCGTCAAAAAGGACAGGGAGACACCTCCGCCCCTGTAGCCCCGCCTTCTATGATGTCACCGAGAGCTGGCACCGCCCCCACGGAACAGCTTCGCCTAGGGCTCCGCTCGGGGAGCTCCTCCACCAGATAGCTCCTCCCCTCGGAGCTTTGCCCAATGAGACTTCCCCCTCTGGACCCCACCCCTTGTAACCCCGCCTCCTCCGTGAGAGATCCCACCCCCGTGACGTCAGGGGCGCGGCAGCTTCCCCCACTAGGGACTGAGGCGCTGTCGGGCTCCGCCCCTCATGGCCCCGCCCCTGGGCGTTTGAATCCTGGCGGGGTCCCAGCCTGAGAACCAATGGAAGATTTTACAATAAACGCGCGTAGCCGCGCCTTCCGTCTGCCTGCTCCGTGGGATGAAGGAAGGGCAACGGGTGGGCGGCGGTGGGCAGACAGGGAACGGCCACCGTACAGCAATTCCCCCTAGGCCCCTAGCGGGTCCTGCCTAAAGTCTGTCTCCATCAGCCCTATTGCAGCAAGGCCGCTGGGTTCTGCTTGGGCCGGTCCCGTCTCCCCCAGGGGAAGGGGAAACCAGGTCACGGTGCCTCCCAAACCTGCCTTCCCACATCCCGGAGCTCTCAGGGGGCAGGGGGCGGGGCCAGATCCGCCCTCAGAAGTCGAGACCTAGAGGACTCACCTTCCTTCCATTCCGAGGTAGTGACAGCAGCCCCCTGCTCCCGCAAGAACCCAGGCTCCAAGTCACTCCTTCTAAAAAGACTGAAGAATTCAGCCCCCAACCCCCTGCTCCCTCAGACCAAAAATTCACGCCTATATTATTCCCCCTCCCCTCTCAGACCCAAAAGTTTGGGTCCCCAGCTCCCCGCAACCGTCAGACCCAGGAGTCCAGAATCCCAGCCCCCACTTCCAGACCCAGAGTCCGGGCCTCAAGGCCCCTCCTTCCTCAGACCCAGGAGCTCAGACGCCCAGCCCCTACCTCCCCTGAACCCAGAGTCCAGGTCCCCGGCCTACCCCCCCCCACACACACACACCCCCACCCTCGGAGCCAGTAGTCCGCGTCCCCAGCCCTTTCTAATTCAGACCCAGGAGTCACAGCACTGAGGTCCTTCTCTCCCAAGCCCGAGCAGTTCCAGATCCCAGCTCCTCCTCCTTCAAGATTTCTCTTTCAGCCCCTCAGTTCCTTCTCACTCAAACACAGAGTTCCAGTTCCCTGGTGCTCTGCAGGCTCCAGAGGGGGAGGAGGCGGAGCAGGAGGCGGGGATTCCCAGTTAAAAGCCTCCAGAATCTAGTACTCGGCAGACGGAGCTGAAGTACCGGGGCCTCTTCCTCTGGGTCTGAATCAGTCGGTGACCCCGCCCCTTGGATTCTGGAAGGTGAGAGGCCAAAGTACTCAGACACAGGCATCAGGCCGGAGCCCCTCCTCCCCCAGGACTACCCCTTCCTCCTTCAAGAGTTAGGAATCTGGCCCCTGGCCCCCTCCTCCACCCCCCCCCCCCCCCCCGCCCCAAGACTTAGGAATCTCAACTCCCAGTTTCCTCTTCCTTCAGATCCTGGAGTCCAGGACCCTAATTCTTCCATTCCTTGGAATGTAGGAATCCAGCCCCCACCTCCCCTCCTCAGATTCAGAAATCTGGGGTCTGCCCCCTTCTTCCTCAACCTAAGAAATCTGGATCCCCAGCCCTTTCCTCCTGCAGGACCCACAAAAATGGCTTCGGATGCGCTGCTCCCTTATTTCAAGATCCTCCTAGGATTTAGCTCTCCCCCCTCCTCAGGTCTCAGCCCTGCCTTCTCGCTCTCCCAGACCCCACCATGGGACATCCCCCAGCCGCTGCAGTCTGGATCTGGACGTTTTTGCTATTGGTGCTGGAAGCCTGGACAGGTGAGGGGGGCCTGGCGGGAACCTCGGGAATGCCACGGTGGGCGCTTGTGATGGCATGGGGGTGGGGGATGTGAAACACACGATCACGTGTGGGAGCTTCTTCAGGCTTTCCCGAGGGCGGGTGGGGGCACACACACATGGCAGCTGGCAGGAGTGCGTCAGGTCCTGCTGCCCATTGCATGAGCACACCAAGCCTGCAGGGCTGCCTGCTGAGGGGCGCAGATACGCACGGGAGTATACGGGCGTGTGAATGCATGTGGAAGCATGCTTTGGGTGTGTGACTTCGTGTGACTCATGGGCTTCAATGAGTGTACGTGTGCATCTGTGTGGCAAGCCAGGGACCTCGCGTGTGAGGGTGTGTGGACATGTGAGGTGGCAGGCAGACGACTTGCCGTGTGTCTGTTTGAACCCATAGTGGCTTTCTTGGCCCTTCCACTGCCGCAGGGGGTGGTGATCCAACCCTCTCCCTCCTGCTGCAGGACACTTGAGGGCACAGGAGTCCAAGGTGCTGGGTGGCCAGGAGTGTGAGGCCCATTCACAGCCTTGGCAGACAGCCTTGTTCCAGGGTGTTCGGCTGCTCTGCGGGGGCGTCCTCATCGATGACAACTGGGTCCTCACAGCAGCCCACTGTAAAAAACAGTGAGTTTTTGCCTGGGGCAGAGGTGGGCTGGGGCCTGAGGGGAGGAGCAAAGAAGAGAGCTGGAGATTGAGCTTCGGAAAGAGGAGGGCTGAGGGAGGAGGGGGCCGGGGGCTCATACTCCTGCCTGGGTCCCAGACTACTCTCCACCATTACAGGAAGTACACGGTACGCCTGGGGGAACACAGCCTGAAGAAAAAGGACAGTTCCGAGCAAGAAATGGCTGTGGCTCAGTCCATCCCACACCCCTGCTACAACAGCAGCAGCGAGGACCACAGCCATGATCTCATGCTCATCCGACTACGTGGCCAGGCATCCCTGGGGCCCCAAGTGAAGCCCATCAACCTGGCGGATCACTGCCCTCAAGTTGGCCAGAAGTGCACCATCTCGGGCTGGGGCACCGTCACCAGCCCCCGAGGTAGTAGGAGGCAGAGGAGAAGCTGGCTGGCCCGCTGGACCCCAAGCCATTGGCAAAGCTCTGGCTCCAGAAGGAGATAGAGAAGGGACAGTGATTGTGAGTCTGAGACTCACAGGTGGCCCATGTTGGAAACCCCAAAGATCAGAATATTAGCAGGAGTGGCGGGAGAAAGAAAGCGAAATAGCAGACTGTTAGAGCAGGTTCCCAGAAAACGAATGGATGCATGAGTGGACGAAAGAATGTATGCCTCCTTTATGGTGGAGAGTGCCATGTTATGAGAACTTTCATAGCACAGGGTCTTATATAATCTTAACAGGCTTGGGGTAGATGGGCTCCTCAGCGGCCCAAGAAAACAGGCTCCTACGATCTTCTCCCTCCTGAGCCCACGATTCCTGGCACCAGAAACTCTTTTTCTGGTCCCAGGAGTCCAGGCCCTTCCTCCCCCAAGACGCATAGTCTAGTTTCCAGCTCATTCCTCACTCTGGACCCAAAAAGTCTGGACTTGCATTGAAGCCGTCCCTTTGGGACTTCAGAGTCCAGGCAGCTCCTCACCCTACGTCACAGTGAAAGAATTGGGGCTCAGCTCAGAGAGGCGTGTGATTCACCAAGAAGCAGCAAAGCCAGGACTCAGGTCCCTGCCTGTCTGGCTCTTACTTCTAAGGAGACAAGGGACACTGTGGAAACCCACTGGCTCATGAATCAGTCAGGTCAGTTCACACCATGCTCTGCCTTTTTTTCTGGGCAAGTCCCTTTCCATCTCTCGGCCTCACTTTCCTCATCTGCAAAATAGGGATGATTGACCAATAGATTTTTTTTTGAAGTTTATTTATTTTATTTTTGAGGTGGGGGGAGGGAGAGGGAGGGAGAATGAGTAGGGAAGGGGCAGAGAGAGAAAATATCCCAAGCACACTCAGCACTGTCAGCGGAGCCTGATGCGGGGCTCAAACCCATGAAACGTCAGATCCTAACCTGAGCAGAAACCAGGAGTTGGACACTTAACTGACTGATGCACCCAGGTGCCCCTGACCAATAGATTTTTAAGCTCCATAAGGGTTCAGGTTAAAGCTCTTTTCTTCATGGTGCATTCCTAGCGCTCAGGATGGTTCTTGGTATACAGTAGGTACTCAATAAATACTTGTTGAATGAATGCATGGATGACTCAATTACGGATGAATGAATGTATCCCTCTTTTAAAAAGTGATTGTGAGTTCAGATGTCTTACAATCAATGAGATTGTGAGTATACAGCTTCTGGAGAATGGAGGTGCCAGATAGAAGTTTTTTCCCTTCAAGTCTATTGCTCAAAGGTTAATAAGAGAGATTAATTCCATTTTCTTTCTTTTTTAAGTTGAAGTATAATCGGCACACAATATTCTATTATTTATTTTTAATTTTTTAAATTTTATTTTAGAAAGAGAGAGTGCAAGCTAGGAAGAGGGGTGGGGGTGGGGAGAGAGAGAGAGAGTCTCAAGCAGGCTCCATGCTCAGTGAGGAGCCTCGTGCAGGGCTCAATCCCACGACCCTGGGATCATGACCTGAGCTGAAATCAAGAGTTGGACACTCAACTGACTGAGCCACCCAGGTGCCCTGCAATATTCTATTAGTTTTATGTACACAAAAAATACTGTCTGTCACTATACAAAGTTGTAACAATATTATTGACCATATTCCCCGTGGTGTACATTACATGGTTAATTCCACTTTTAGTCATTAATTCAATTTGTTTGTAAGCATCTGGTAGTCCCAGCTGCTGTATTGTGTGAAGTCCCTATCCTATGGATTCTCATGCTAGGTGGGGGAAATAGACAATAAACAAAAATACATATAAAATGAATTATTAGGTAGAGTTAAGTGATATAATGAAGTATCATGGAGAGTTAAGAGGATAGGGAGAGATAGAGGGGTGGTGTCTTCATTAGAACGGTCAGGGAAAGCTTCTAAAATGAAGTGACTTTTGGGAGAGGTAGGATTTAGCTGAATTGGGGTGGTCTGGGGATGGGAAGATTGGAGAGACAGGGTCATAGGTGTCACAAGGGGGCACCTCCATGTCTTTCAGTCACCTGATCCTTAATTTGCGAATGACTTTGGGATGGGGCACCTGGGTGACTCAGTTGGTTATAAGTATCCAAGTCTGAGTCTCAGCTCACGTCTTGATCTCAGGGTTGTGAGTTCAAGCCCCACATTGGGCTCCACACTGGGTGGTAAAGCCTAGAAAGTACGAAAGAAAGCAAAAAAGCAAGAAGGAAGGAAGGAAGGAAGGAAAGAAGGAAGGAAGGAAGGAAGGAAGGAGGGAGAGAGGGAGGGAGGGAGGGAAGGAAGAAGGAAGAAAGAGAGGAAGAAAGAAAGAAAGAAAATGGCAGGACTCTGGGCAAGAAACAGAAGGTAAGGTCCACAGCCTTTCTCTAGATGTTGGAAAGGAAACTGCAGGAGCCATAGCTTTGTTTAATGTGGTGAGACGTGATGTGCCCTGCAAAAGGTGTCAGAAAACCCTCCTGTGCAGCCATGCATGTACAGAAGGGAGGTTAGATTCACCTAGGGACTGAGGGAAATGGTTACTCTCTCTGGGAACTTACAACCTCTGCCCCCTCAGAGAATTTTCCTGACACCCTCAACTGCGCAGAAGTAGAAATCTTTCCCCTGAAGAAGTGTAAAGATGTCTACCCTGGGGAAGTCACAGATGGTATGATTTGTGCAGGAGACAGCAATGGGGCCGACTCATGCCAGGTGAGTGACTTCTGAAACCCCCTTCTTCCCTTGGCCTTCAATGCCCATGGAGGCTTGGGGCTTGGCATCAGGGGAAACTCAAAGAGTTAGCACCCAGAGAGGTTATACTCCATCTCTAGAGCGGGAAGCAGGTTCAGAGAAGGCCACACTCTCCCTGCAGGTCACACTGCACAGGGATCAGGAACGCTAAATTGTCGCTATCATTTTCTTGGGAACTCTTGTCTTCAGGATAGGGTGCAGACAGAGGAAGGGATAAAGGGAGCAAGAGAAGATGTCCATGCGGGAAAGAGTCTGAAGCTAGAGGGTGAGCAAGCTCCCTGCTCCCTTCCGCAGGAATTTGTGCTGACTCTATTGCTGACCAGGTAGCCAGCCACCTTTCTTTGGGACCTGATTGGGTTTCCTAGCACGGTGGCCTTCTCCTATGATTTGTTCCTTGGGAAGCAATACTCTCTTGCCAACTGGCCAGAGAATGGTGCCATTGACTTTAACCCTCCCTCAATGAGCTCCCCATCCCCAAGATGACAAATCTTGGGATTTGCCATAGATGTAACAGTAGTTCTTATTTGGCTGCAGTTTCAGTCTTCAGGGCTCCCCCAGCTTTGTCTCCCTCATGGAAGTCCCACCCCCTTTGCTAATGATTGGTCCCTGAAGACAATGCTTCCATGCTTTCTTTCCCATTGGCCAAGAATGAAATCATTTCCGTCAGTGTCCTCCCAGGAAATCTAATCTCTCAGGATGGTTCCAGTTCCATAGAGACAAAGATCTCTTCCCAAAAGACCCACCATTGCCCCTTGCACGTGTGTGTGTGTGTGTGTGTGTGTGTGTGTGTGTGACCACAAGAACTCTGTTCCTTCCCTCTCTCTTTGGTAACCGGATTCAAAGATCTGTTCGCCACTGGCAGGAACCAAGACATCAGCTCAGTCCCCTCCGTGTAATCCTGTCTTCTTTCTGACTTGGACGTCTCTGCCACCATTGGTCCCAGGATACAATGCTCTTATCTTTATTGGTTAGAGGCACAAATCAGCTACAGAACTAGTGCTAAATGTGGGACGCAGCGGGGGATCTTAAGTGAAAGTATTCTCTTACTCTCCCCTTCCAGGGAGATTCCGGGGGCCCGCTGGTGTGTGATGGTGTTCTCCAAGGCATCACGTCCTGGGGATCAGACCCCTGTGGGCGGCCCGAGAGACCTGGTATCTACACCAACATTTGCCGCTACTTGGACTGGATCAAGAAGACCATAGGCAGCAGGGGTTGATGCTAGGACAAGCTCTGGACCCGCTTCAATAAACTCACAACTCAGCCTTGCTCCTTGCCTGTCTGTGCTTCCTCCTTGCTGGGAGGGATGGAAAGACGGGGGTCTGCGCCTTGCTGGGACATTTGATGGGTGGTCTACAGAGATCAGGACCACCCCCCACCCCATGGCCACTCTGGCTACCACCATTGCCTGGAGTGACCCCCTTTATTTCTGGAAGGGCTTGGAGGAATGGGAGGTTAAATTCTGGGGAGAAGACACACAAGGATTTCCAAATATCCGATGGGTTGGCCTGCAAAAGACATATTTGAAAGAATTTCTTTTTTTAAATTAATTAATTTATTTTGAGAGAGAGAGCTTGTACAAGTGGAGGAGTGGCAGAGAGAGAGAGAGAATCCCAAGCAGGCTCCACCTTGTCAGTGACGTGGGGCTCGAACTCACAAACCATGAGATCGTGGCATGGACCGAAATCAAGAATTGGATGCTTAACTGACTGAGCATCCCTAGAAGAATTTCTGTTTAGTTGTTCCAAGCAGCTAAAGTGTTTCTAAGTTTTGCAGGGAGAGTTCCCCTTCCCCATTTTAAAAATTATAAGAGGGGTGCCTGGGTGGCTCAGTCAGTTAAGTTTCCGGCTTTCACTCAGGTCATGATCTCACAGTTTGTTGAATTCAAGCCCCATGGCGGGCTCTGTGCTGACAGCTCAAGCCTGGAGCCCGCTTGAGATTCTGTGTCTCTCTCTCTCTGCCCCTCCCCTGCTCGCACTTTCTCCTTCTCTCAAAAACAAACATTTAAAAAATTTAAAAAAAATTATAAGATATGTAAAGTGCAGGAAATACACAAACACCTTAAATATGCACCTATGGAGCTACCACCCAGGTGAAGAAATAGAACACGGACAGCCCCCAGAAGTCTGGGAGACAGATTATTTTTCCCCCTTAGGAGAAACAGAAATCTTTCTCACAGCTTAGAGCTTTTCTGCTGTGGTATGAGGAAATGAGTCACTTCATTGAAGGTGCCCAAACTGAAGTATGGAGGAAAAGAGATTTGGAGGGAGTTTTCATCAAAGCAGAGGCTAAATGTAAGTCGTCTTGAGAAAGATGTATGTGGAGTGGGTAGTTATTGTAAGAATAGAAATAAATTGCAACGGGGGGGGGGGGGGGACTAGCTCCACTCTATCTCATCTCCATGTATGTTTCATTCCTTTCTTGCTACCAACCTCTAACTCATTTATTTGACTCTCTGACGCCTTTCTCTACATGCTTCTTCATTTTCATGGTGCTGGCTCCCTGGTGCGCTTATCCAGTCTCTCTCCTTACTTCATAACCGCTGAACTTCACCTATACCTGCCACCAACTGCTTTGCTTCCCGGGGATTTACCACATTATATACCAATACGAGAGAATCCCATTGGTCCAGGTAAATTTTTCTCCTTCAGCCACATGATAGGTTATTGAATGGCCAATGGTTTGACTGCATTCTGGTCAGGTGACCAGTCCTATCCAATCAGTGGCTATGTGGAATCAGGGGCTACGGGTCGTCTGGGACGTGGGCTGTGGGTGGAGCAATTCTCTGCAAGGGGTGTGGGTGTGCTGGATGTCTTGCATGGCACACATCAATCTCTGTCCTCCGTGAAAGTCCCCGAATACCAGAAATCCTGAGGAAGTCTTTCATGCCTGATGGTAAACTCCTGGAGCTGGGGATGCATTTCTGGAGGTGAGACTCAAGGGTCATCTCGGCCTAAAGAATTGTTTTAGAATTTTTATTATGAATAATTTCAAGCATATATAAAGTGGTGTAGAAATCCTTGTACACCAACTGAATCAAAACCAGTTCTTTCACCTCTACTACACACTTCTCTAATGTGGGAATATTTTGAAACAAACATTGGCTATCATTTTGTTCTCAGATATGTTCATTTGTATTTTTAAAACAGTATGACAAGCTACAGTTCATGGGCCAAATCTCAGGAGGTATAAATAGCTTTTACTACTTGATTTGATGCCAGGGAGCATTAATTTTGAACCCTAATTAAGCAAGATGTTATCCCTCCAAAAGAATTCCATTTTGCTGATTAATAGACCTGTATGACAAAAATTGGTAACAAATGATTATTTTGAATTTCATCAGTTAAAAATGTTGGTGGGGGGGCCTGGGTGGCTCAGTTGGTTAAGCGTCTGACTCTTAATCTCAGCTCAGGTCTTAATCTCAGGGTCATGAGTCCAAGTCCCTCATTGGGTTCCACCGTGCAGCCTAGTTAAAAATTTAAAAATGCATGGAAATTTATTTTCTTTCTTGTTATGTGGATACCTACATAATATCCTCAATTTTGCCTCATGGTCTAGAAAGCCTAAAATATACACTACTTGGTCCTTTATTGGAAAAGTTTGCCAACTCCAGCTCTAAAATATAGACTCTTTTAAAACATAAAAACCTTATGTTATCACCGCTTACAGAGTTAGTAATAATTCCTTAATATCATCCAATACTCAGGTGATACTTAAATGTCCCCAGTGGAATATAAACCAGAGAATACTTGAAGATTGATTTATACTATTAAGTAGGGGCATGACTGAGGTCAGTGAGGGGAAGAGACTTGTCCAAGGTCAACCAAAATTCAGGAATCTGGGAGGGGTCAACCAAAATTCAGGGGTCTGGGAGGAAATCAGAGCACTAGGCATGGACAAAAGCTGGAAGGAGCCACTTAGTCAGGGAGCTTTTGGATAGCAACGTCAGAGTCCAAAATGAGTTCAAAATGGCTTATGTACAAGAAGAGATTGATTGATTTAGGTGGCTAAGAAGGCTGTGGGGATGGTTCATGATGTCAGAGGATGTGACATGGGTACCAGAGTCTCAAGTACTTGAAATAGTGACGTAAGCCAATTAGCTCTCTCTCACACACTCACACACTCTCTCTCTTTGACACTTTCTCTCTGACACTCTGCCTACTTTTCTCTGCTTCTGTTTTGTTTTTTTGTTTTTTTGTTTTTTTAATGTGTAAGCTGTTTTTCAGCTCTGCTTGTCTCTTTCCTTCTCCTTTGGGTCTCATTCTAGCCCCTGTAGACAGACTTTTTCAGAGGAAGGGAACCTAGCAGCTACGACACACCCAATTAAGCAAACACAGTAGAAACAAAGATCTCCATTCTCAGGGCATCTTCATATTACTCCCAGGGAAGAACTCTGATTGACTGAAGAACTCAGCTTGAACTGAGCCCACCCCTTTGGATCAATCATTGTTGCCAGGGAGGAAACAATGCTTTTGTCGGCTTGGCCTGGGTCATGCATCAATCATAGTGGTTGCGTGGGCAGATGGTAAGGTTTGGAGAACTATGATTGAAACTTTCACCAGAACTATCTGAAATAAAAGAGCAGCTTCCCAAAAGAAGTGGGGAGCTGTTCTTGAAAGAAGAGGGAAGAGAATCCAGGAAGTCAGAAACAATAGGCCTTCGGAACCCAAGAGGCTGAGTCAGGAGGTTCCAGGGTCACAGTGTCCAGGATCCCTCAGGGCAAGGCACAGCTGGCAGGATAACCAGATGCCTGTTCTCAGGCATGATCATGAGCTGGAGGATGAATCATCACGCAAAGGTTCAGGACACAGGTTTGAGGGCAAGGGAGATATGAGGCTGGGTATCTGTGTGGAACTTGAGAGCGGGTGCTGGTGCTAAACCCACAGGGCACAGGAGGGCTGGGACTTGGAGGTCTCACCAGCGTGGGGTTATGCATCCTTAATAGGCTCATAGGGTCCTGAGTCCATTTGGAGCCAAATAAAACTTCCAGGGTGTGTGACAGTATCCCAGGAAAATTTTCTTCTCAGAGTGTGGGTTTGTACAATCATAATGCTATGGGCAATCCTCAGCATTTGAATTCTGCCTCTTCTGATTCCTTAGCTATATGACTTTGCTCAAGTGGTCGAACCTCTTTTAAACCTCCATTTTATCATCTATAATATGGGGAAGACAGTCCTAACTTGGACCCACGTGAGAAATAAAAATGAGTTCTGAGAAGTGCCGGGCACGTCACACTGCAGGTACACAAGAAATGAAAGCTTCTTCATTCTGGATTGATGGGGTAAGGAAGCTAATATTAACTCAGCATATGCTGTGTGTATGTCCATTTTCTTTTAATAATTTTATTTAATCCTCCCGTTTGCCTTGAGAAGTAAATTTTTCTCTCCCCCACTTTATTTATTTTATTTTTTTAAACGTTTATTTATTTTTGAGACAGAGAGAGACAGAGCATGAACGGGGGAGAGTCAGAAAGAGAGGAAGACACAGAATCCGAAGCAGGCTCCAGGCTCTGGGCTGTCAGCACAGAGCCCGATGCGGGGCTCGAACTCACAGACCTCGAGATCATGACCTGAGCCGAAGTCGGACGCTTAACCGACTGAGCCACCCAGGTGCCCTCTCCCCCCACTTTAAAGAAAGGCAAAGTGAGGCTCAGAAAAATTGAAGTCACTTACCTGAAATCACAGGACTGGCAATTAGGATTCACACCTGGGTTGGTCTGACTTGTGAGGCCAAGTTCTTTCTCTCACACCACATGGCTGGATGGCTCAGGGGTTAAGGAAAGACAGTCTACAGTTGGCAAATCTGTGGATGACAGTGGTTTGCAAACTAGTATACTAGTATTTATTTAAGTACCTCCTATGTTCCCTGGTGTGGGCTGGGTATGAACATCCGGTTTGTTCCTTCTGCTCATGTTTAGGTGTTTAGCAACAACATCAGATTAAATAATTAAACACAGAAAGACAGACATTCAGAGCACAACAGAGGAGAAGTTCAGGGGATGTATGAATGAATAACAGGGCTCCAGAGGAATGGGGCTCCTTTCTTCTTTCTGACAGAATGCTGATGAGGCAGGGAGCTGAAGAGAGAATCCAGGGATAAAGATTTGGGCACTAGATGACAAATTGGAAGTCTTACTAAAATTTCCCTCCTTAAGAAGCCAGGAGAGAAAGATAGATTACTGACTCACAGGGCTATGAGGTTAAGTGGCCTGGGGTCTACTCCTTCTTGATTTGGGAGCCCAAGTCAGGAAGGCTGACATCCCTCAAGGCC